GTGTGGGGAAAGTCTCGGGGGTGGTAAAACAACAGCACTGGCCAGCCACCCCTGTGCACAAGTAAGTCCTAATAAGCCCATGTCTTTCTTATTTCTTTTTTTTTTTCTGTTAATCCTCACCAGAGGATATTTTCCCATTGATTTTAAGAGAGAGGAAAAGATAGAGAAAGACGTCAATGTGAGAGAAATGCATCAATTGGTTGCCTCATGCAAGGACCAGGGCTGAGGATTGAATCTGCAACCAAGGTATGCACCCTTGACCAGAATTGAACCTGGGACCCTTTAGTCCGTGGGCCGACGCTCTATCCACTGAGCAAAATCGGCTAAGGCAGCGGTTCTCAACCTGTGGGTCATGACCCCTTTGGCGGTCAAACAACCCTTTCACAGGGGTCGCCTAAGACCATCCTGCATATCAGATATTTACATTACGATTCATAACAGTAGCAACATTACAGTTATGAAGTAGCAACGAAAATAATTTTATGGTTGGGTCACAACATGAGGAACTGTATTTAAAGGGCCAGAAGTGGTTGAGAACCACGGGGCTAAGGCAAGCTTGTGGACTTTGGAACACTGAGCCCAGTGAGGGAGATAGGTATCTTACTGAAAACGAGGATTAAGTGATAGTCTGCATAGTGAATGCTTCTTCTTCCACTTGGCTCCTAAAAGACTGGCAGTCTGGCCTGGACCTCTCAGGACAAGAAGTAGATCCACTGATACTGAACATTGGTGAAACCCACCAGTTGACAATGCCCCACTCACAGAGTTCCCGATTAGCTTTTTATTACATACAGTGAAATGTACAATTGTAAGAAAACTTGAGTTTTGACAAATATGTACACCTGTATAACCAATACTCCAGTATAACCAATGAGATATAAATCATTTATATCATCCCAGAAAGTCCATTCTTGCTTGCCCCCTTCTAGTCAATCTTTGACTACCACAGGCCACCACTGTTCTGACCTCTGTTATTATCATCATAGATTAGTTTTGCCTATACTTGAATTTCAGATAAACACATTCATATAGTTTGTACTATTTTGATGTCTGGCTTCTTTCACTCACATTATGCTTTTGAGATTCATTCATGTTGTGTTTGTCAGTTCTTTTTTATTGCTGAGTGGTATGGTATGCCATTGATTAATATGCCACAATTTGTCTTCCATTCTTCTGTTGATGGCTATTTGGGTTATATGCAGACTTGGCCATTATGAATGAGACTGTTATGAACATTCTTATATCTCTTTTAGGTTAAATATATGTTTTATATTCTTGGATAAATACCTGAGAATAGAGTTGAGCCATAGGAAGTGAATTTAAAATTTGTGAGAATCCGCCAGTTTTCCAGAGTGGTTATACCATTTTATATTCTCACCAGTAATGTGCAGGCATTGTAGTTATTTCGTATTTTCACCAATATTTGTTGTTTTCAGCCTCTTAAATTTTTGCTATTCTAGAGAATATGGAATATTATTTCAGTGTGGTGTTAATTTGCATTTTCCTGAAGATTAAAGATGAATACCTTTTTGTGTGCACATCATTTTTGTATATATTCTTTTAGGAAGTTTAAGTTTTTGTCCATTTAAAAATTATTGTTTTATTATTGATTTGTAGGAGTTCATTATATGTTCTGGACACAAATTCTTTGTCATTTGGCATGTAATCATTCATATCTATATAAAATAACTAACATTTACCTACAGCTTGCATCTTTTCATGAGCAGAAACTTTTAATTTTGAAAGTTTAGTCTATCAACTCTTTTTGTTTTTTAGTTAGTGTTATTTTGTGACCTCCCTAAGAAATATTTTTCCACCCCAAGGTCTTAAAAATACTTTCTATTTTTTTTTCCAAAAAGCTTTTGCATCTAGGTAAATGGCCAGTCTTGAATTTTTGTGTATTGCATAAGATAAATAAAGACATTTCCCCCCATATCTTTATCTCGTTTTCTTAGCACCATTAGTTGAAATCATTAGCTTTTTAATGTTTCCTTTTAAAAATACATGGAGAGCCCATAAGAGTTTCAAAGACAAAGACCAAAACTAAATCAGAAAAAGGAAAAGTATTCAAAGGAGACAATCATTAAATAAGTCTTCAGCTCAAACCCAAGTATAATTGATATCCTCAGGAGAGAAAAAAGTAAAATTGGTTCTATGAAAAAAGGACAGGAGGGTGCAACAAAGGAACATTCAAAGAAGAAAGAAAAGGAGTTCTTGGAAATTAGAAATTAATAGAAACAAAACTTAGTAGAATGGCTGGAAGATAAAGTTGGGAAAATCTCCCATAAAGTTAAAAAGAAACACACAGAAAAATTAGAAGGTCATTTTATACAATTGTCATCAAAATAATAGGAGCTCCAGAAAAAGATAACAGAAAACCAGAAGAGTTTCAGAGGACTAATCAAATAAGTTTTAGAATTCAAGGACACATCTTCCCAAATTGATAGCCTTCCAAAATGTGAGTACAGTGAGTGAAAGACATCAGCAAGGCACATTATGGTCAAATTTAAAGCGTATGTAATAAAGTACATCTGAAAAAGCATTAGGGAAGATAATATGGGTCGTTTACAAAGAATTGGGAATCAGAATAACATAAAATTTCTCAACAATAACACTGCAAACTAGAAGACAGTGGAGCAAAGTCCTTAAAATCCTGGGGTTGGGGAATGCCAGCATATATGTCTGTATTCAGCCAAGCCATAAACCAAATATGATGGTAAAATAAAGATGTCAAAGAGGCAATTCTCAAACAATGTACTGCCCATGTGCTGTTCTAAGAAAGAAGGAGCAAACCAAAAAGGAAGGTTCCCTGGAATTCATTCTTCCAACAAATACTGAGTACCTATTGCAGCTTTGTACCAGGTAGGCTAGGCGTAGAGCAGTGAACAAAGGTCCTGGCAATGGAGCTTAGAAGTAAGAGGCTACCCATAGATTTTGTTATATCAGGAATTGTCAAGGTGCTATTAAGAAAAATAAAGGAGGGAGGTCAGAGGTGGTGGTGGTGGTGGTGGTGGCAGTGTTATATGGTGGAGTGGGAGCAGGTCAGAAAGGGTCTGTGATGACATGTGCAGGTACAGAGAGCAGCCGGTCCAGGATGGATCAGGAGAATGAAATCCAAACTTAACTAGATGCCTCATACTTTATCTGGCAATCCCATCCAGGAGGATGTCTCCAAAGAAAAATATAAATTTGGTTAATTACCTAATGTGTTTGAATGTTCGTATTCTTCCAGTGGAGAATTTTGGGATTAATTAGTGATAAGTACATACTAGAAAACAAGCTGATGGAAAGTGAGGCAGTTATGAACTCAGGGAAAAATCAAAGGATAAAAAGGAAAGTAATGTTATGTAACACTGGGTTGTAAATAATTTTTACTGAGTCCAATTTAAATATTGAATATTGAAGACAGGGGAAGTATGTGTACATTTAGGAGAGGATGCCAGAATTAAGACTTACTTCATCTTGCATAGTAGGAATTCAGTGATATAGCTACAGGTAAAAAACCAAGAAATAACAATATAAACGTTACTTAGAAATTCAGAGGCAAATAACTGAAAGAAAAAAACCAAACAACAAAAACAGCTGCAGGAGTTGCAAATGCTGGCTATATACCTGAAAAAATTGAAAGCAGGGACTCAAGCTGATATATGTATATGCATGTTCATCATAACATTGTTCACAGCAATCAAAGATTATGTCATGGGAGAATGGGTAACTAAAATGTGGTATATACATGCAATGGAATATTAGCTTTATAAAAAAAGAAGGGAATTCTGACACATGCTACAATATGGTTGAACCTTGAAGACATTATGTTAAGTGAAATAAGACAGTCATAAAGGGACAAATATTGTATGATTGCATTTATATGAGGTTCCTAAAGCAGTCAAATTCATAGAAACAGAGAGTAGAATGATGGTTGTTAGGGCTAGGAGTAAGGTGGAATGGGGCATTGTTGTTTAATGGGTACAGAGTTTAAGTTTGGGAAAATTTAAACGTTCTGGAAATAGATGCTGGTGATAGTTGGACAACAATGCGAAATGTACTTAATGCCACTGAACTCTGTACATAAAAATGGTTAGAATGGTAAATTATATATCTGTTACCACATTTGTTATATGTATATGTATAATTCCCATTCCCTCCAGAGAATGGGAATTGGCATGGGGAAGAGTAGATTGCAACTTTTCATGATATGCTTACAGAATTTTAATTTTTCAAAACTATGTAGGTGTGTGACTTTGCTTTAAAAAGCAGTTATTGATTTATGCAACTATGTATGTGAAAAAATTTACATTGGGCCCTAGCTGATTTGGTTTAGTGGATAGAGCGTCAACTTGTGGACTGAAGGATCCCAGGTTCGATTCAGGTCAAAGAGATATGCCCAGGTTGCGGGCTCAATCCCCAGTATGGGGCGTGTAGGAGGTAAAGGTCTCAGCAAAGCTGTTTATCTTATTATTTGGTCTTTTTTTATATAATTAAATTGAATGGTTTTTCTTTTCTAAAATATTTCTGTGGCTGATTACTTAGGTATGTATGTAGCCTTATTATAAAAATACTCTGAATTGAATTCTTAAAGGAGGAAAACAGCAAGCCAGTTAAATCTCAGGGAATTCCTACAGTGTGTCCAGCTTCACGATCCTCAAATGAAGCAACTTCCCCATACCATTCCCGACGAAGGATGAGGAAACTTCGAGATCATAATGTCCGAACTCCTTCTAACCTAGACATCCTAGAGCTCCACACAAGGGAGGTCCTCAGAAGATTAGAGATGTGTCCTTGGGAAGAGGCAAGTATTATGTTTCATGATGACAAAGAGAGACTTCGTTGTTCCTTAAAGTTCTTCAAACGGATACTCAAAGGAGAATAGTCTGACCAGTCTTGTTAGATTATCTAATCTTCCATTAGCATTGTATAGGGGTCAACAGTGCTTATGCCTGTAGAAGGGGGCAGTGCTTCAACTTTCTGGGCATCAGTGCAGAAGTAGGATGACTAGATCTCATTCATTTACTGACATGTTTATTGAGCATTTACCAAGGCCATGCTCTTACAGGCTCTAGAGAAGATGCCAGAGTGAGCACAACTTAAGTCCCTGCCTTTGTGTAGCTTCCGTCCTAGCTCAGGTTGGAAGGATAGGAGACAGATATCTATATCATAAAAGCCCTGTGGTTGTGACACTGTTACGACGTCATGACCACAACCTGTCACCAGGGAGGAGTCAGTCTGGGTCCTGCCGGTGCTGCGGGTTTGGGTCTTGTGCAATATCGCGTGCTGGGCCTCTAGTGTTAAAATAATACAATTTCAAATAATCATTATGAAGAAAGCCAAAATAATAGAGCAATAGAGTAAAGGGGCTTGGGATGGCTGCTACTTGAGCTAGGGTGGTCAGAAAGCTCTCAGGTGGTGACATCTGAACTGACACTTAAATAATGGGGAAAAGTTAGATGGATACACAGATCTGAGGAGAAGTATTGCTGGCAGAGGGAAAAGCAAGTGCAAAAAGCCTATCCCTCACCCAATAGCATCAGCATGAGTGACTGTTAGAATAAACCCATTAAAGTTTGAGAAATGCTTGACTAATGGACAAGGGGGCAGGCAGTAATCTGATCAATGTAGGGCCTTGTGAAACTTGGTAATGAGTTTGCAACGAGATCTGTATCATACATAATTTTACATCTTAAATACAGGATAGGCAACAATTTAAAATGGACAAAATAGAGGTATCTCTGAATTAAAATGTTTTAAAACTTAATACAGAAATTTTAACTTCAATATTTTAAATGGTATAGAATTTTTTTTATACTTTTTTAAAGATTTTGTTGTCCTAAACCTCCTTAACCCATAGCAATCTGGGAGAAGATTTAGCATGTTATGAAAGGTTCTGTTTATTATTAAAGAAACATTTTCCACAGAAAGGAAATATTCTGTATGTATTAAAACCAGTTATTGTATGCCTTTATGTCACATAGTGGCCTTTGTTCCTAGCGATAGCAATGTGGTGACCTGTAAGCTGCTGCCAGTGCTTGGTGGGAAGACTAGGGAGTAGGTCAAAGGTAGGGTAATCGGGAAGGACCAGCAGCTGGCACTTAAACAAGTCAGGGAAGGAGAGTCACTGTGCACTAGGGCAGTGCTCTCCAGCTCTCTGCAAGAGTGAAATGTCTTTGAATTCACTTTACGTAAGTTTTACATCCTACTTTATTGTGTGTTATTGTTAAAGGCCCTACAGAAAGACAAACCACATTCCGGCTTAGGCTTTGGGAACCATTTGGTTTTAGTGGCACACTGCTGCCTGTCTCCTGGCCTGGGTGGCTGCCTAGTCCAGTTTGGGATGCAGAGCTAAAGGAGGAGGTAGTGGCTTGACTTTATTCATTTAGTCCAGTGGGTATAGTTGAGTATGGAGATTAAGTAAGTTCTATTTTTATATTTTAGGACATCTTGAGCTCTAAACTGAATGGTAAATTCAACAAACATCTCCAGCCATCTTCTACCGTACCCGAATGGAGAGCAAAAGATAATGATCTACGATTACTGCTGACAAATGGAAGGATAATTAAGTATGTAAACCAGATCGAAGTATCCAACCGATTAGCTTTCAGGGGGTTCCCTCTGTTTACTGAATCCCCAGTCCATTTGTTGTTCAGCTAACCACATATGGAGCAAGTGGCTCAATTCTCCACTCTCTCTGTAAATTGAAGGGGGAGTGTACTGTTTGGCCGCACAAGTTGTACTATTTTTTGACTTATTTTTTCTTCTATATACAGAGACGAAAGACACCCCTTCGCAGATCAGAGTCTTTATACAGTAGACAGTGAAAATGAAGAGGATCAGAGAAGGACAAAAAAGGCAAAAGTGAAGATAGAAGAGAGTTCAGGAATAGAGGCAGTGGAGAATGAAGAATCGCAGAAACCCCTTAACAGTATGTTTGTTTTAATCATCATTGTAAAGGTCTCTTTATTACTAATGTGATAGCATGTGAAGTAACTTGCAAGTTCTTACATTTGTACTCTTTTGAGGAATCTGAACTATTTCTGAATAATGTATCCATTGGGAAAATACTGAATGTGAATGCCCAGAGAGATGTAGAGCCCAGGGAAGGCATTATTAATGATGAGGACATGTGCAAGTTAGTGACATGCTTATCTGGTGACAGTTTTTACAAGCGTCACACGAAAGCTCATGCTCTACTCCAAATAAAACAGTCCCAAGTTTAATGGGATTTCACAAATAATTTTAGCTAACATGTATATGGTTTTCAGAAGTAGGAGACATATATAATTGGTTGACCTAAAACTATTAGTAACCCATGTATTGTTTTTCTTGGCTGCCTGTTGACAAGAGGGCCTCTACTTGGCTGTTAATTGCTTATCATTAGTGTGACCAACAGTAATACCTCTTCCTCCTCAATTTTAAGGAGCAGTTAAATATTTTGGTATTTGACAAGTATGTGTTCCAGACAATTCACATTATTTAATCCAAAATTACCTTAATTCCTGCTAATTTCAGGTAAATGTGATATTGCTGTCGTTGGTAACTGCATTTGTTCACATGATGGGGAAAGTGGTTAATCAGTAGAATTCATCAAGCGGTAGTTATGAAGTAGTGCCCCAGGAAGAGAAAGGCAGTGCTAAGGCCCAGTCTATAAGATTGTTGAATTCACTACCTACTTGAATGCTTTTGTTATCTGTTGAGAGAAATAATGCAAAAGGGAAATTGAAAAGTTTCTTGTAGCTCATGTTAGTGTTGGAGGCTTTTTTCTGGAAAGAAATATTTTTAAAATTTTCAAATAAGGAATTTATAATTATGTTTAATAAATTCTAGAAATGTTTGTAGAATACACTTCAATTTGCATCTTGGTCAGTTGGGGAGAAAGTTCTTGGAGGAAGAATGAATGAAAAGAAAGGAGAATAGAACAGGAGTGACATAGACACAAAGCTGGATGGACTTTTAATACCTTCTCTTTGACTCTTACTTCTCAGGGTTTTTTACAAGTGTGAAGTCAGAACTCAGGAATCGATCATCAGAATATTCTGACATTTCTGATTCGGAAGACTCTGGACCTGATTGCACTGCGCTGGTATGCCCAAAGGCCCGTGCTGGTGCTATTGGGTGGAAAAATGAACACCCACTTTCCTTCCCAGTCTCTCTGACCTTTGTAGCACAGGCTCTTT